TCCAGTATATATTATAAAATCCAATACATAATTGGTTTTGCAATCACACAGTGTAAATGATTTAATACCAAATCTATTTCTTTTGGAAGGAATAAATTGTTTGAAATAGCATCGGTCTTTGAACAACATAAGACTTTCGTCAATACACAAATTTTTGTACGGATAAAATGATTGCGAGAAAGAGATCTTGAGGACATCAACTATGGGTCGTATTTTTATTAACGGATCATTGTTTCTTGCGTTATTATTATTATTAAAATGCAATATTTGTAATAATACTATGTATCTGTCTCGTCCCATAATTTTTCGAAAAATGCTGGTTTTTATAATCGTATCAGTCGACCAATACTCATTTAGAGTCAATTTCTTCATCCGCGGCATTAATATTGTGATGGCCAAAAATCCATACATCTCACATATCGATGTATCTTTCCAAGAATTAGTACGAGAATGCGTTTTAAATGAAGTATTTTCGATCACAAATTTAAAATAATTGTTCGTTTCCTCTATAATATGAGAAACTAATTCTTCTGAAAAGAAAAGTTGGAAAGCATCTAAAGGTGTGGATTCCGGAGTTAAATTTCCTTTCATTCCAGAATTTTGATCGTTGAATGCATGTATTATCTGTTTGAAGTTGTTCTTTGACTATGACAACGTTGAAAATATTTCATTCGAATCGAAATTCTCCAAATTCGAATTTGAATTTAAATCCTCATCTGTAGAAGTACTAAGTACTCTTGGCCGTTTATTTCTCCTTCTACACCCAACTGTCCCATCATTGATGTTTTTTTCTGTATCTTCCGAATCAGATATCAATGCAACATATTGGTGCGTTTCCTGTATTTCACCATTATAATTTTCACTCAAATCTGATGTTTGATCCAAATCACTGTCGTCTCTCGTAACAAATTCTTTAAAACTACTACACATTTTAAAGATATAACTCACGTTCACTGTAGCGCAATCGAACTGACGGGCTAGAATACTGTTAGAAAATAACTGTAGAGACGTGTCGAGCGAGCTTTTATATTTCGGAGAGTGCTTTGTTCAAGCTTGATCATTGAATGCGACTTTATCTATCAGGTAAGTTGGTAAACCTAACCTAAACCCTCCGAGGAAACCTTGATCCTAAATTGCAACGGTAGTAAATCTTATGAAGTCAAATAAATTACGGTACAATAAATATTGGGTAAAAACTTATATTACGGTATTATTTATGGTGGATGCTGTATATCACTATTGTTTGTGTCTAGGTGATGGCTGTGAGTATTTTGTTTCTATTAGAAGTTGTCTTCCGTAGGCTTCACAAGGTTATTGCCGTTGCAGTTCAGCATTTCTCGAAATATCGGACCTTAATAAAATTGGAAAAATGTTCTTTGGGAATATTTTTACACGTGTTAGCACCTAGCGCCTAGAACCTTAGTGCCGTGTAACAAATATAATAATATAAAAATCGAATAATAATATAAAATAATATAAAAATCACATACACCACAAGTAATATTACAATATGCTAATGCAACAATCACAACTGGATGGCTTCAGATGAAACGAGTTTAAGATACAGAGAATATCTAAAGAAATAAACAAGATTTTGTTTTATCTCGTTGCTGAACAACAAAGTATGTGGTTTTTGAAAGTGTTGGACATCTACGATAGAAAAAATTGCTGTATATAAACATGAGATAATAATAAACAATTAAAGCTTTCGCTGGGCGCATATATGCGCCCATAGGCCATACTGACAGCTTTCGCCGGGCGCATATTTGCGCCCATAGACCACTCTGATAGCCTTTGCTAGACGCATTTATGCGCCCATAGCAGTCAAAGGGTTAATCAACCCGCGATGCGATGAATTATATAAAGCTTTAAAAACTATAAGACGTGTTGACCGAAAGAATGTGGACAATATTGAATCATAATATGAATATATAATTGCAAGTACCGGAACGCCATAAATACTTCAGGCACCATCTTTATATTACACGATACTCATGTTCAAAGAAATAGTGTTCATTGGGAAACACGCATTGCGTAGAATAATATAAGGGCATAAAATCGATATGACATATTAACAGAATAAATGTGGAAAATTTTAATGCGATATATGTAAATACCATTCCACGTACCGGACCACGTCCATAAAGTTCAATTCCTCATAAATAATATTATATAATATTTATGTACAAAGAAATGGTGTTCATTTTGAATTCCGCCATGCGCAGGATAGTACAAAACAATAAAATATGTATGATATATTGGTGAAATGAAAGTGGAAAATTTTTCATGGGCATACGTAATCTTCATTCCAAGGAACGGATATCCATAATGTGTCAGGATTAATAAATAATTCAAGAAGACAATTATGTACAAAAAATAGTATTAATTATGAACTTTACGATACGTGGAAATATATAAGACCATAAAATCATTATGATATAGTGATAGAATGAATGTGGGAAATTTTGAATTGTCATACGTTAATTCCATTCCATTAACCGGAAGTGCGTAATATTTCAGACTAGTTAAATAATATTAGATGAGATATATCTGCGAAGACATTGTGCACATTGTGAACCGCGCAATGCGTAGAATAATATAAGAAAATTTAATCGGTATAATTTATTGACTGAATGAATGTGGAAAGGTTTGAATTGGCTTATGTGAACTTCATCTTACGTAACGGGACTCCGTAAACTTCGAGGAACGATAAATAATATTAGATGATATTTATGTACAAAGAAATGGTATGCATTGTGAACCCGACGACGCCGAAATCTGTTTGATATATTGACAGAATGAATGTGGAAAATATTGAACACACACACACACACACACACACACACAC